AAATATCAGAATTACATTTCTTTAATATAACTATACATTCTGAATATATATATATATATATATATATATATATATATATATATATATATATATATATATATATATATATATATATATATATATATATATATATACCACTCATCTGGAAGAGAGTCACTCACTTGTAACAAACAAACTATATGTCCTGAGTAACACAAGATTCCTTAACCTTGCCTGAGCAGGTTAAGGAATCTTGATTGACTAAAGCAATTCTTCAATTTAACCAATTCTAGGACAGCTGTTCTAGCTACAGCATAACGAATACACTGTTATGTATCCTGTACTTCTGTATTCTAATAACCATAAAGGTAAACATGTTTTGAAGATAGAGCAATGCCTTTGGGCATATTTGTTACAGAAGAAATGATATTTATAGGATTGAGGTGAAGGCTTAAACGGGTATGTGCCCAACCCGTTCCTTCCCTGGACCTCCCTCAGCTGACATGACCAGGCAGAAGCCCGGTAGAACCGAGAGAAGTGGTACCAAGTGTGTTTTAACTCGCTAACTATAAACCAACTGGAGTTTGAGTGGAGCGTGAATCACAGAACCTTCGTAGCTGTAACAAGATAAACATGGCTTCACCCGAATGCATTTCTGAGGCAAATCTTGCACGAAGGGTGAACATTATGTAATACATAATGATTGGCGGGGTTTTATATCAAGGAGTCAGGCGCGGGGGAGGCTAATCAAAGCTGAGCTAAGCAACACCGCACATCAACGAGAGGTTCATTGCCAACTTTTTCTTCGAACCTCGCACCAAAGGACAAACAAAAAGCGAGTTTGGGAGAAGCGAAGCAGAACAAATCCCTCTCACTCTCTCTTTCTCTCTCTCTTTCTGAACGCAAGAGTCTCGCGCGAGTGGGGCCGTAATCAGAGGCAGAACGATTTAATCAACATTTAATTAAGTCTTCTCTTCTTGAATTGCTTCTAGTAGCACTGACGTCCAATTAGATAGCAATTAATCCCATTTCGAAGTGGTGATGCGAGGATCCATTTGTTAGAGAAGGTGATCATTGGATATATATATATGTAATAATTTTTGGTTAGGTGATATGAGGATGAGGTTACCATACGATGCGGCGCCCTGGGCCGTGTTAATACCTCGCCAGGCCTCTTTAATGGTTATTAAGACGTGGTTATGGTGATAGGTGAGGTGCAGATAATGAGCTCGTGGGTTACGGGGATGTGTGTATACTCACCTAGTTGTACTTGCGAGGGTTGAGGTTTGGCTCTTTCGTCCCGTCTCTCAACTGTCAATCAACTGGTGAACAGATTCCTGAGCCTACTGGACTCTATCATATCGACATTTGAAATTTTGTATGGAGTCAGCCTCCACCACATCACTCCCGCGGCCCCTCGAATGCATTCAACCAGGCTGTTGACGCGGCTGCATTGGCTAATGCATTCCATCTCTAACTACTTTGACACTGAAAAAATTCTTTCTAACTTCCTGTGGCTTATTTGGGTACACAGTTTCCACCTGTGTCCCCTTGTGCTAGTACCACGCGTGCTAATCGGTTTATCTTTATCTCCCCTATTAATTCCTCTGAGATTTTTATAGGTAGTGATCATGTCTCCCATAATTCTACTGTCATCTAGTGTCGTGTTAGTTCCAGTAATCTTTCATCGTAGCTCATACCTCTCAGCTCGGGGGACTAGTCTGATGGCATACCTCTGAAGCTTTTCTAACTTTGTTTTATGTTTGACTTGATATGGGGTGGTTTGAATCCAGGCTAGAGCCGCATATTCCAGTATTGGTCTGACATATGAGGTATATAAGGCTCTGAATAATTACTTACACAAGTTTCTGAAGGCAGTTCTTATGTTTGCCAGCTTTCCATAAGCCGCTGATGTTATCCTTTTCATGTGTGTGCTGCAGGAGACAGGTTCTGTGTGATATCAACCCCAGATTCTTCTCTCTTCCTGATTCCTGAAGGATTTCCTCTCCCAACTGGTACCTTGTGTTTGGCCTCCTGCTCCCTACGCCTATCTTCATCACTTTGCACTTACTCGTGGTAAACTCTAATAGCCATTTATTGAACCATTCCTTCAGTCTGTCCAGGTCAATACGTAGCCTTTTATTCTCCTCCGTCTTAATCCTTTTCATAATTATAGCATCATCAGCAAACATTGAAAGGAATAAGTCTATACCTTCTGGAAGATCATTCACGTATATCAGGAACAGGATAGGTCCGAGTACAGAGCCCTGTGGGACTCCGCTGGTGACACCACGCCATTGAGCGCCTCACAAATCGTTGCTTCTGTATACTGGGCCCAAAGAGACAACCTCCTTGCAGAAAAGCGAGACACAACTTGCTGTTGCTCTGAAGCTTCGTGTGATGTGTCAGAGCGCTGAAGTCAAGGAAGGGTGTTACCTTGAGGTGCTTCCGGGGCTTAGCGTCCCCGCGGCCCGGTCGTCGACCAGAGCAGCGGGGCCCTGTAGTGAGTGGTAGGGGAAGGAGGGGAGTGTGATAGATGGGAGGGGCTGACAAAAGCTGCCCCTCTCTCTCTCTCTCTCTCTCTCTTTTGCCCAGACCATCTCTCCTCTCCTCTCCTCTACCCTACCAGTCGCCTCCCCCTCCCACTCCACGCCCGGCAGTCGCCATTACAGCTCCGTCAGCGTCAATTACCTCTTCCACTGAGTTGCTCTTGGCGTAGCGTGGGCGGTGACTCACGCTCCCCCTCTCCCCTCCCACGCTACACTCCCCTCCCACTCTCCCTCCCCCCTCCCACTCTACACTCCCCCCTTCCACTCTACACTCCCCCCTCCCACTCTACACTCCCCCCTCCCACTCTACACTCCCCCCCTCCCACTCTACACTCCCCCCTTCCACTCTACACTCCCCCCTCCCACTCTACACTCCCCCCTCCCACTCTACACTCCCCCCCTCCCACTCTACACTCCCCCCTCCCACTCTACACTCCCCCCTCCCACTCTACACTCCCCCCCTCCCACTCTACACTCCCCCCTCCCACTCTACACTCCCAGCGGTGGTCTAGCGTGTGACAGAACTCTTTCATATCCCTGCGTTCACACCTGGTGCGCAAGGGAAGGAAGATGAATGCAAGCTAGGAAAGATGGAAGAGAAGTGAAAGAAAACGGCAATCAATGTAGGATGAGAAGAAAGAGGAGATGAGAGCAGTAACGTTTTGTTTTCGTAATTACTAAGTGAACGTCTGGGAAGAGCAACGTTTCCAACTGGCCTGTTAAACACCTGTGGAGGAGACACCTGTCCTGGTTCCCTGTCCGTGGCACCTGTCTGGTCCCCTGTTAAAAACACCCGTGGAGCAAGCACCTGTCCTGGTCCCCTGTTAAACACCTGTGGAGGAGACACCTGTCCTGGTTCCCTGTTAAACACCCGTGGAGCAAGCACCTGTCCTGGTCCCCTACCCGTGGAAAACGCTTTCACAGCTCCTGAATCCGGATTCATCAGGCAGTGACGCAAGCACTTACGAACCTCCAAATTTTTCTCCATCTTTGGCGGCTTTGTTGATATACATTAAACAACTCATGAGCTCCGAAGCACTAGTCGGCTATTTATTATAAATAGGGACGCAAATTTCAATAAAAAAACAATGAATGTGAAAAGTCACAAGTTAACGGAAAGGGTTAGAGAATTTCACCCAATTTCTGCTTTAAAATATTTTTGCTAGTTGTCAAGTTGCCGCCAAATACGTAATTTAATAATTTTCACAGAGTCCGGAGCTGTCTATTAAATCTTTTACTGTTATTTAATTATTCCAAAAAATAATTTCATAAACTATTTTCTGAAGCTGTTGCATTCTCTGTAATGCAACTGGAATATAAATTAGGTAATAAGATATCTTAAATCTGTGAAAAGAATATATTTATAACAAAGCTTTTTTTAGTTTTATTTCTATTTTCAACGTTTGATATATATATATATATATATATATATATATATATATATATATATATATATATATATATATATATATATATATATATATATATATATATATATACATATATATATTATATACATATATATATATATATATATATATATATATATATATATATATATATATATATATATATATATATATATATATATATTTATTACATAATAAAGCAGTGTTTTATCTTAATAATAACTTTTCCATTACTGTAATATCATTTCTTCTACCGCAATATCTTTTCACTGTACTGGAGTATCTTTTCCACTACTACAGTAACTTTCCAACTACCACAGTATCTTTCCAACTTCCACAGTATCGTTCTCAATACCATAATATCTATTCTACTACCGGAGTATCTTTTGCTTTATAGCAGTATCTTCTTCTTCTCTACCCCAGTATCTTTTACGAAATCTAATTATTTGTTCAGTCAAGTGCAACATCTTAGCTGCAGTCACTTACAGGTTTCCCTCAGCACGTGTTATCTTATTAAGTCTTCGTTATCTCTATCTACCCTGTTATCTCCGCATCTACTCTAGTTATATTCAAATCTACCCCATCTTTTCTACTATTTACTATGTTGTCATTCATCTGTTACTAACTCTACTCATGCACGCTGTACCCACGGCATCTACCTCTGTAGCCAGACTGTATCTCCCTGTATCCATATAATCTACCTCTGTACCCATGCTGTATCTCCCTGTACCCACGTTATCTACTTCTGAACCATAGATTTCCTGATCTCTCTGCATGTTATCTATTCTCGACTTTGCATTATCCCAACTTATATCTTCATAATTTCCTATCTACCTTTGTCCTCCTCCATCTACCCTTGCTCATCTACCTACATTATTGCTTTATTTTCTATTATCTCATAATTTCCTAGTGTTATCCGCCGATATTTCCCTGTGTTATCTCCCCATTTGTCAACCTTACCTCCACATTACCCAGTTTTATCTCCCCTATCTCCCGTGTTCTCTCCAAGAGCAGTCTCCTCCCTAGCCTCAAGCCTCAGGTGATGCTGTTCTCTCTCCCACAGTTCCCCCGGAGAGGGTGGAGATCATCTCCCAGTTCTCTCCCGTCTTCCCAGGTGACAAGAATGATGTGGTGTGCCGGGCTATTGGAGGTGAGTCTCTGGGGGTACTGGGTGAGTGTCTGGGGCTACTGGGTGAGTCTCTGGGGCTACTGGGTGAGTCTCTGGCGTTACTGGGATAATAAAGTGAGCTTCTATCATTTTTAGGTGCCTTCCGGCCATTATTATTAGAGATTCCTCGTTACTTAGCGAAATATTTACTATCAAGTGACACGGGCACAATCAGGTGAGACATGGACACAATCAGGTGAGACACGGGCACAATCAGGAGAAACATGGACACAATCAGATATACTCACCACCAATTTCGTTTAATAGTCCTCGGGGTTTATCTCAAGCTTAGACAGCCGTATCTCCGTCACCTTCGCAGGAACAATGCAATTTTGGAGGCTTAGATGATCTGAATTCCTTCCCGTTATATAGAACTTGACTCCCCCCCCCAAAAAAGCTATTCCTCGATCTTGCATAGAAATCAATTAGCACAAAACTGTATACACAGTGTACTTGTTCTGCTGCAGATAATTGCACAGAATAAGTACACTATATATGTCAGCTTTCAACAAACAACAAAGCATATGTGTAATACTAAAACAATAATAATAATTATAATTTTTGGTCATGTCGTGGCCTGGTTGTCTGGGGCGAGGGACTGTCCACCTGCATAGGTTCGTATCCCCATCACAGCTCCTACTGATTTTCTCAGTATTATTATTAATTAAATAGTACCAACATCAACCACCACACATCAAAAACTCACTGAATAGCCATGAAGCAACAGGGAAAATACATGAGACAAGCAGAATGTATTAGGCATATCCTGACTTAGCCTCGCGCACTATCACAACCCGTCCCGACCCTCACCAGAGATATCTGTACCAGACTTGTATATACTCTCCTCCTGATAACACGTCAGATCATGGGTGAGGCTTATATCAATCCTCCAACACACTGGACCATCACTCTGGCTGGAGGATATATACCTTACCCTGGGGGATACGACAATGTCACACAGACAGACAGCCTCTATGTTGCCTCTGCTAACTATACGGATCTCTGAGCACACATGAATCACACACACACGGTTGTATTGTGCTCTGTCAAGCGTAGTGACAACTGTTGAGGGCATCCTTGATGACTGTCATGAATACATTTGACAAATCAGGGATTTTCTATTATACAAATATTCAGAAATGACAGACAATCTGGCAGTGATGAAGGTGATGCTTTGTGATTTTATATCACTATAGGAACAGCAATGGGAAATGCATATATTTAGCTAAATATCTGATTTTTTGTCAACTATCTGCGATGAATAGCGCATTGTAGATAGCTGACATAAGATCAGCTATCACCCATGCACTAGTCATCGTAGATAGCAAATATATTATATATATATATATATATATATATATATATATATATATATATATATATATATATATATATATATATATATATATATATATATATATATATCTTTTTCTGCATTTTATATCCTCAATTATCACAGAATAATAGATGCTTTAAACCAGTGTCAGCACATCGTGTTATCTTCTAACTCCCTCCTCACATTCCTCATTGCTTTTCCTCCCCCTTCCTCCTGTCTCTGCCCCTTTCCCCCCCCCCCCTCTCTCTCTCTCTGCTCACCACAACCTCTCCACTTTGACTCAACCTCTCTCAAATACCTTTCTCTATCTTTTCTCCTGCATCTTCCTCCTCACTCTATCCCCACTTTATCCCACTCTTTCTCAGCTCTCCCTCTTTGCTCTTCATATGTCATTCATAACGTTCGAAACAGAGAGAGAGAGAGAGAGAGAGAGAGAGAGAGAGAGAGAGAGAGAGAGAGAGAGAGAGAGAGAGAGAGAGAGAGAGAGAGAGAGAGAGAGAGAGAGAGAGAGAGAGAGAGAGAGAGAGAGAGAGAGAGAGAGAACATTGTGTTAACAAAAGATGGCTGCAGGAGTGTGGTAAGCACACAGCAGTAGACAACCATTGTGCCTCGCTCGTCACCGTTATGAAAGCTCCAGCATAATGAAAATGGGGAGAATATTGACCCCTGCTTATAACGGGGAAGACTACAAAGTTCTAGGGACGATACACCAGGCTACTTTCATGCTCACCTGATCTGCTCGAAGTCACGTGTGTCGGTGGGACCACACTTCTACCTCTGGGTCAACTTCTCCTGCCCTTGCATAGGAATAATTGCCCACATTATTGAAAAAGGAAAATTTGTTTACAGTCCAAGTCTTGAAAACAATGGCGTTGGCATCACTATCAATAAGCTCTACAAGACTAAAACTCCCAAAACTGTAACATATCGGCAGCAAAGTTCACATATGTAAGCTAATATACACACATGAATACATTAAATTTAGGGACCACCACAACAGATTTGTTTTGGCCTCATAGTAGATCTGTCTTGTTTATATCCACTCCCTTTGAACCCATTTTCCTATCCTATGTTTTCTCCCAACAATGTAAACTGTTTGTCGCAATAATGATAGTTGGTACTTTATTTGGCTCATCCACAACCATATTTTGCAAACATGCTTCCCTGTAGCGCTCCTGAAGTGGCATTTCTTTGATCGAAACTATTACTGTGGGTTCTGACCTATTATATATATATATATATATATATATATATATATATATATATATATATATATATATATATATATATATATACCCCAAAATGACTCTGCTATGTGAACAAATTCTCACGCTATATCCACAAATGACCACATCACGCCCACACCACACCCACAAACGCCCACACCACGCCCACAAATGACCACACCACACCCACAAATGACCACATCACGCCCACAAATGACCACATCACGCCCACAAATGACCACATCACGCCCACAAATGACCACATCACGCCCACAAATGACCACATCACGCCCACAAATGACCACATCACGCCCACAAATGACCACACCACGCCCACAAATGACCACATCACGCCCACAAATGACCACATCACGCCCACAAATGACCACATCACGCCCACAAATGACCACATCACGCCCACAAATGACCACATCACGCCCACAAATGACCACATCACGCCCACAAATGACCACATCACGCCCACAAATGACCACATCACGCCCACAAATGACCACATCACGCCCACAAATGACCACATCACGCCCACAAATGACCACATCACGCCCACAAATGACCACATCACGCCCACAAATGACCACACCACGCCCACAAATGACCACACCACGCCCACAAATGACCACATCACGCCCACAAATGACCACATCACGCCCACAAATGACCACATCACGCCCACAAATGACCACATCACGCCCACAAATGACCACATCACGCCCACAAATGACCACATCACGCCCACAAATGACCACATCACGCCCACAAATGACCACATCACGCCCACAAATGACCACATCACGCCCACAAATGACCACACCACGCCCACAAATGACCACACCACGCCCACAAATGCCATTAACTGGAGCAGCGCCTCACCCTCCAAGTTCAAGTTCAAGTATGTTTATTGAGATAAGCAATAAATACATCTCAAAGGGATAGAGTAGCTTAGGCTATTTCTACCCCCCTATCCTCACCCTCCACCGCCAGGGTCGCCAGCAGCCAGCGTGGTGTGGCGGCAGGGCGGCCGCGTGGTGGACGCCAACAGCACGGTGGAGCACGGGGGAGCCTTCAACATGTTGGAGGTGCCAGCCTCCCGCACCGACCTCTCCCTCCCCTTCACCTGTCACGCCACCAACAACGACGTCACCGCCCCCGTCACCGCCAACTACACCAGGAATGTCACCTGTACGACTCATCGTATCGTCACTCATTAACTCATCTTCTCTTCCTCCTGCACTCTTAACTTACTCCATGTCCTGATTTCCTCCATGTTTTTGTTAGTTACTGCTGTCTTCTTCCACAATTCTTGGTGTCTTTCTGAGTGCTGCTGTCATCCTCCATGTATTGCTGTTATCCTCCATGTACCCCTGTCATCCTCCATATACCCCTTTCATCCTTCACGTACTCCTATCATCCTCCATGTACCGCAGGTCCTTCCGTGAAATGAGGTACTCCAAGTACTGATATGTTCCTGCAAACGCTTCTTCCCTTTGTTGATATCTTCTGTCATTTACCGCTCTGGTCCTCCACGTACTACAGTCCCCCTCCATGTGATGCTAATTACATGGGGGAAAATTATATATATATATATAAATAAATAAATATATATATATATATATATATATATATATATATATATATATATATATATATATATATATATATATATATATATATATATATATATATATAAATCCTCCAGGATTTGCAATGTTCTTTGGTTAGATGCCAGGATTATTGCAAACTATATATTCAAGCATGTTCTTAATTAGTGATGTTTTTATGCTCATTTTGCATGCGGTTTCTGGCCATAGCAGCCTGTAGATGGTAGGTCAGGCTTCACAAAAGCTGTGTGGTGGTCAATATATTGGTAGACTGAAGGTGACATCCTTCATTGGGGCGTGTAAACTGGTATACCAAGTTTGCTTTTTGGAGAGGGTTGTATTGTTTATTGGGGGCTGTTTTCAAGTATTAAATCAGCAGTCCTTCTTGGTTTGGTAGTAAATAATAATGTCCAGTTTTTTGGTCTCGGGACCTTGTCGGTGTCACTCCATTTGCAATTACATTTCTTATAATACTTTCTCCTGTTTTATACCCAGTCACTTGGGCTGGAGATAGAGCGACGGTCTCGCTTCATGCAGGCCGGTGTTCAATCCCCGATCGACCAAGTGGTTGGGGCACCATTCCTTCCCCCCGTCCCATCCCAAATCATTATCATGACCCCTTCCCAGTGCTAAATAGTCGTAATGGCTTGGCGTTTTCCCCCCTGATAGTTCCCTTCCCTTCCTGTTTTATAATGTGAACTCATAGTGATTTGTAACAGTTTTATGGGAGGGATGTTGCTCACTGTTGCAGCTGTCGTTATATAATATAATATAAACGATAGAACATCTATTATTTTTCATGACCAGACCACACACTAGAAGGTGAAGGGACGACGACGTTTCGGTCCGTCCTGGACCATTCTCAAGTCGATTGAGAATGACACAATCGTCTTGAGAATGGTCCAGGACGGACCGCAACGTCGTCGTTCCTTCACCTTCTAGTGTGTGGTCTGGTCAACATTCTTTAGCCACGTTATTGTCAGCCACGATATTATATTATTATTTATATATATACGATATATTATTATATCCACGATATATTATTATATCCAAGATATATTATTATTTAGCCACGCATCGCCTGCATCCATTATTTTTCCCCCTTATAGTAATCATTCTATGGTATTTTACATGTCTTTCTCACACACTTTCTGTTTCTCGGAGCCCTTCCCTCAGTGCCTGAACAAGTCTCCTCGTGGTCCAGGTGGTCCCGCCAGTGTGAGGATCGAGGCGTCGGAGAACCCGCTAGTGGAGGGTCGTGAGGCGGAGGTGACTTGTACGGCAGAAGGCAGCAACCCCCCAGCGCGCGTCATCTGGTACCAACAGGGCCGCACCGTCGACGCCGACTTCATTAATGTAAGTGATGGCTCCAGGGGCGGTTGTCCTGGCGGAGGCAGAGACGGCTAGGCTCCAGGATAGAGAGTGCAGGTCATGTCTTACAGGACGGCTAGGCTCCAGGATAGAGAGTGTAGGTCATGTCTTACAGGACGGCTAGGCTCCAGGATAGTGAGTTTAGGTCCTGTCTTACAGAACGGCTAGGCTCCAGGGTAGTGAGTGTAGGTCATGTCTTACAGAACGGCTTAGCTCCGGGATAGTAAGTGTACATGTCTTACAGAACGGATAGGTTCCAGGATAGTGAGTGCAGGTCATGTCTTATAGAACGGCTAGGCTCCAGGATAGTGAGTTTAGGTCATGTCTTACAGAACGGATAGGCTCCAGGATAGCAAGTGTACATGTCTTACAGAACGGCTAGGTTCCAGGATAGTGAGTTTAGGTCATGTCTTACAGAACGGCTAGGCTCCAGGATAGTAAGTGAACATGTCTTACAGAACGGCTAGGCTCCAGGATAGTGAGTGTACATGTCTTACAGAACGGCTAGGCTCCAGGATAGTGAGGGCATGTACTTGCGAACATGTAACACATCAGCCAATGGGCAAATGCTTGCTGAAAGAGCGATGTTCTTGAGAGTGATCGCTTGTGAAATGTTCTTAAGAACACCACAGACAGTATCAAGCTGTTGATAACTATAAACCCAATATCTTAGAGTTGCCATTTTCTTCCTGTTCTCGAAGAAGGGCCACGTTACAAAACATGAAGAACATAGTCGTTATACACAGCAGTAAACCAACAACGTCTCTCCAGTGTTGAGTCCAACCACTTGGGCTGGACGATAGAGCGACGGTCTCGCTTCATGCAGGTCGGCGTTCAATCCCCGACCGTCCCAAATAGTTGGGCACTATTCCTTTCCCCCGTCCTATACCAAATCCTGACCCCTTCCAAGTGCTATATAGTCGTAATAGCTTGGCGTTTTCCCTTGATAATTCCCTCCCTTCCTCTCCAGTGCTGAAGGCTCTAATTTACTGACCTGACCAACCACAACGGACCACAGAAAAGTCTCCTTGCTTAGTTCCCCACAATGTCCAGAAGGCGGATAATTAAGGGACATAGCAAAGGCCAAGAGAGTTGTCCATACTCCAGATAGGAATACATTTTTGCTTCATATAAGGTGTTGTAATTATAGAAGAGGGGCCGGTACAGTTCAGTGTCATTGTTGACTTTGTCCGCTACCAAAGACACTATTACGAGAATACACTGAGAGACTACAATTGGGGGGCTGATTTGTGAAAGGGATTTAAAGTATAATGTTAAATCTAGAAAAAAACTACTCACATTTAAATCTGATGTTGTTTTTCTTTTATAACTTTAGTATAAATATATGTAATTTTTGCACACACGTTGATTTTTTTTCTTTCTGTGAACGAAAAGACGTGTGTGTGTGTGTGTGTGTGTGTGTGTGTGTGTGTGTACTCACCTATTTGTGCTTGAGGGGGTTGAGCTTTGGCTCTTTAGTCCAGCCATCTGTGTGTGTGTGTGTGTGTGTGTGTGTGTGTGTACTCACCTAGTTGTGCTTGCAGGGGATGAGCTTTGGCTCTTTAGTCCCGCCTATATATATGTGTGTGTGTGCGAACAAGCCTGAACGGTTTTCAGTTGCATATATGTGTGTGTGTGTGTGTGTGTGTGTGTGTGTGTGTGTGTGTGTGTGTGTGTGTGTGTGTGTGTGTGTGTGTGTGTGTGTGTCCCTTGTTAACAGATCTACCAAAAGAAGCTCACCTGTAAATCCTCCTTTTCCTAAATTTGATTTCTCTCATAGATAACTTCTTGCTGAAGTACTGCCTTTAGTCATTGCGTTCACCATTCACTAAGTGTCCAGCGCAGTACTGTAAATCACAATGTCAACGGAAGCACCGTGAGAAGCCTCGCCATTCCCATCTGACCAGCTGCCAAGGTCCAGGACTGCCACTGATAACAGGCAGAATTATGGACTTGGTGCAGCGGCCCTCCTGTACCTCCGCTCTAGATATTGTCACCTCAACACCGGAATATAAACCAATTTAAATTGTAAATGAACACGAAAAATAATTGTCTGAGACTCTATATATAAATAGAGATCTGTTTCCTCATAATATTAGACAATTAGAAATGCTAGAAAAAAATAGACTTGCTTAGCAACATATCCTTCACGGTCATATCAACGGTCCTCTCCATCTTATAAACTTCTCTCACCAGCATCTCCCTCACCATCACATCAGACGTATCAAGCCAGGAACAACAAGAGAGACACACAAACAATTTATGGTTTCATTATCCTCAATTACCGCTCATATTTCTTCCAACCCAATTTCGGATCTAATTGGTAGTCGCGTCTTGTTCAGGTTGAGGGAACCTTAAGATGGAAGAGGAGGAGGTGTGAGACACTCATGTCTTAAGGCGTTAATGTATATATATATATATATATATATATATATATATATATATATATATATATATATATATATATATATGTCGTACCTAATAGCCAGAACGCACTTCTCAGCCTACTATTCAAGGCCCGATTTCGATATATATATATATATATATATATATATATATGCTCCAGTGTGTACTCGTTTGTACTCTTGCTCGTTATCACTCGTCCTCGCTATCACTCGTGCTCGCTATCACTCGTGCTCGCTATCACTCGTGCTCGCTATCACTCGTGCTCGCTATCACTCGTGCTCGCTATCACTCGTGCTCGCTATCACTCGTCCTCGCTATCACTCGTGCTCGCTATCACTCGTGCTCGCTATCACTCGTGCTCGCTATCACTCGTGCTCGCTATCACTCGCCCTCGCTATCACTCGTCCTGGCTATCACTCGCCCTGGCTATCACTCGTCAGTGCTAGTTCAGTACCCTAACATTATTTTTAACTCCAACTACCAAAACATGTTTTCGCCTCAAATTAGGTCATAACCGAAAGGTCCCGGGTTCGATCCCCGGGCAGGGCAAGACGCCTGAGACCCTTTTCTCTCACCTGATGCCTCTTTTCAACTAGCATTAAATAGATTGCCCAGGGAGTTAAACATCTGCTCTAGGTGGCCTTCGGCAGATGGTCAGACCAATAGGAGGACATCAAAAAGATAAACAGGCTTCGTATCCCTGAGAATAGCAAAAACCCTCACATACTCTCCCCTTTTTTCTATTGAACACAATAGTTATTAATTGCTGTAATTACTCCTGGAAGTTCAGAGCTTCAATCTCACGTCTGAGGATTCGTTAAATTATAATCTGTAATTATGTATTCACAGTAATCATTGTCAATCAATTAAAACGAAATTAGTATTTTCTAATTTTATTAAGAACGAGGGATTAGAGAGGCTTAACAGTCCCGAAGGTTGATGCTCTTGTATTATATTATTAATCGTCAATTTAATTATTAATTATTTTATTATTTAATCGTCAATGCATCACTTGCAATGTAAGCCCCTGCACATATAATTGCAATATTAAGCTATAGATGTGAACCTTACAGTATACAACACTGAATGCAATGTTTACAGTGTACAACTGTGGATATAATACTTGCAGTATACAACCCCTGCATGCAACTGTTGCTATATAAAATCCATGAGGGAAACATTTGCAATAAATAACTTTGCATGTAACACTTGTAATATACAACCCTGAATGCAACTTTAAATATATATAATTTATTTGTATAAATATATGTATTACTCAATTTGTATACATATTTGTATTACCCACTATTTGTATTACTGAATTTGTATTACCCAATAGCAACTCTAGCTATTACGTATGACATATTATATATATATATATATATATATATATATATATATATATATATATATATATATATATATATATATATATATATATATATATATATATATATATATATATATATATATATATATATATATATATATATATATATATATATATATATATACGTCAAACTTGAATGGTTCGCAAGCATCTAACATGCATGAGAAAACTCTTGGAGCCCCTAAAGGATTCGAACCCGGACAACCAGGGCCTCCATGCCCCTTGGCACCTCCAGTACTGTAACCACTCTGCCAACGGACTGTATAAAAGTATTGGAAAGTCGTCTGACTTTTAACCCTAATACCTAACAGCTCTCATGACCGTTTTGGACACAGATATTTCATCAAAATCACTTCATCATACTGGGGGCCGTCTGAACATCATTTGAGACGTCAAAAACTATTTCAATTGCGTTGAATTACGATTTTTGACGGCACAAATTATTTAATTTACGTTTACTTACGATTTAATTTCAATTAAATCGCTTGACGTCACAAGTGACTTCAATTAATTTTGCTTAGTTATGTTAGCTTAGGATAGTTTAGATTAAGATCGACTATGTTAGGAAGGTTAGGTTTTATCATATATATACTTTTGTTTTAACTAAACAAAATCATATATAATATAATGGAAAGCTTTATCATTCCATAAGAAAAACAAAAATAGAAAATATATATTTTCATGAAATTTTGCCTTGTTAGGCAAATGATACTGTCCGATTTGCTTAACTTGGCAAGTGTAACGAACTACTTGACTAAGTTGGTCAAGTAATGCGTTCTGCCTATTACGGGTTCATCACGAACCAGAGGGTTCAGTTCCTGAACCGATTATGTGCCTCTGTAACCCTTTACACCACCGCCCACGGGATGGATATGGGGGTGCAAAATAAAGAAATTGTTAAATTAAATTGTACCTATCACGTACAACATCATATATTCAACTTTCAGATCGATCTTTGACCCAGTAGAAGAGCAACACACTCAGTACTGGCTTATAACCCCATAACGAGCTCGTACGGATTGGCTTTAGTACAACCCTTCCATCCAAAAATGTGAGTACTTATAGCAACCCTTAAATGAACAAAAAAAACACGGGCTCACCATAGCCCGTGCTGCTTGGAACTTTTTATTCCAAGTAGCGAATCTTAAACAGCAACAAAGAACGTATAAAAATGGACTGTTATACCCAAAAATGTTCACTTTTCGAACTATTAGAATACTCCAAATGGTACCCCTAAAAAAAAAAAATAATGAAACAGCATCTATGGAACCTGACCAAACCTGCTACATACACCAAAATAATCATCCCCAGTTAGATCTAATATAAGCCATCTTAGACCTATATTTAGCATATACAAATGCTGTATACTAAATCTAGGAAAGGTCAGGTTAGGGCGTTGACCACTTTTCTACCGTCCTGGTCAAAAATAACGATACAAAACGTGTAATACTCTGGACTCAACACACCACACATACGCTCGGTTGTCCAATACTTGCTATAAGTACTAAAACATTTTTGGATGGCCGGTTGGCCGTAAATAGGGCAGCTCACCCATGTATTTTTAACTTTGTGTGTGTGAGGGGGGAGGGGGGGGGGGGAGTGAGGCCCCATTATCTTAATGTCATTTTCAATTGCATGTCATTATTTCTCCCCCTCATCACAATCAATGCTTTATTACTATCTTTAATATTATTGTCATTGTATCATTATACAATTCTGTCCGATACTGTAAATTGTTAATTATTTTTACTGAATTATATTATAATATTATTTATATATATATCCGCATCATTACGTAAACTGTTAAGACTGTTGTGACTCATAATTTCACCTCTAATTTACCTCAGTAATAACAATATTTGAGATAATAGTGATAATAATAATAATAACGAGAAAACCATTAAGAGTCATGAGGAGGATTCGAACCTGCACACTTGGTACTATCAAGCACACGCCTTAAACCACTAAACCACTGATATGCAACAAGACATGTGTTCGGGCGTATCTAGAGGGCAGGTTCGAATCCCCCTCGTCCCTCATGGCGCTTACTAATTGTCTCAGTGATACATGACATAAATATGAGTTCTTTGTGCAAATAATATTATAATAATACAAATAATAATATTGCTGTTAAACTAAACTATATTTATTTTGCCTGTAATGTTTCCTGTTCTCTCTCTCGTCTCTATCCTCCCTCCCTTCTCCCTCTGTTGCTCCCTGTCCTGTGTCCCGTCTCGCCCGTCCTGCTCCCTGTCTCCCGTGACCCGGTGACCTCAAAGTGCATCTGGTGCTCCGTCTACCTCGTATTGGTTGGGCAAATTGGAACTTTTACACCCCCAACGACACATTTTTCCTTCCATTTGATGCCCAATCATCTGGCGACAAGTCAATTTCCGCTGACTTTAACTCGTAAAACTCCCTGACTATTACACGTCGCCTTAACACACTCACAGGCAAGTCCCTCATACACACTCACAGCCAGGAACGCACTTTAATACAGTGTCAGCATAAGTTATCTCAATATTTACATATGTTGTACAGTAGTAACGATTTAAAACATGTCATACGTTATTATAATACAAACGCAATTACATTGTTATCTTTCCCTTTCACTGCTCTCTCGTCTCAGCTTCCTCACCATCTCTCACTTCACTCGTTATCTCTCACCTTACTCATCATCTCATGTCTTATTCACTCCACCCCCTTACCTTTCCTATCATTGTTTTAACTCGTTCATTCCCCCCGTTAGGTCGCTACCTATTTACCTCAATTAGCAGACATTTATCACACTCACCACTCACCTACCGCACTCACCACACCCACCCTCACTCACCATCTCATTACCTCACTCACCACTTACCTTCTTCACCACCCCTTACTTCAGTCACCATCTGTTTATCTCACCATACCATTACTTTACACTCATCTACCTTTATCACCATACCATTATTTTACTCCTTCACCATCCTCATTACCCAAACATGAGGTGACGAGTGTTTATTTAGCACACACACACACACACACACACACACACACACACACACACACACACACACACACACACACACACACACACACACACAGACACAGACACACACACACACACACACACACACACACACACACACACACACACACACACACACACACATAGGGGGGTCTGTGGCTGAGTGAACAGCGCTTGGGACTCGTAATCCTAGGATGCGGGTTCGATCTCCGGCGATGCCGGAAAACAAATGGGCAGAGTTTCTTTCACCCTGATGCTCCTGTTACCTAGCAGTAAATCGGTATCTGGGAGTTAGACAGCTGTTACGGGCTGCTTCCTTTGTTGTGTTTGTATGTTCACCTAGTTGTGTTCACCTAGTTGTGTTTGCGGGGGTTGAGCTTTGCTCTTTCGGCCCGCCTCTCAACTGTCAATCAACTGTTTACTAACTACTATTTTTTTTCCACACCCCTCCCCCAGGAAGCAGCCCGTGACAGCTGACTAACTCCCAGGTACCTATTTACTGCTAGGTAACAGGGGCACTTAGGGTGAAAGAAACTTTGCCCATTTGTTTCTGCCTCGTGCGGGAATCGAACTCGCGCCACAGAATTACGAGTCCTGCGCGCTATCCACCAGGCTACGAGGCCTGTGTGTGTGTGTGTGTGTGTGTGTGTGTGTGTGTGTGTGTGTTTGTGTATGTGTGGAAAGAAAGTTGATTAACCGTTGAAAGGCGGGGCGAAAGAGCAGCCCTCAACCCCTGCAAGCAACTAGGTAAATACACACACACACACACACACACACACACACACACACACACACACACACACACACACACACACACACATACACACATACACACATCACAGTACGTCACATTTCGACACACATCAAAAGGAATCTGTTGGAGCTGAATATGACAAAGGCTGTTGGGCCTGACAGAATCTCACCATGGATACTAAAAGAGGGTGCTGAAGCACTATGCATACCACTTTCTATGGTGTATAACAGGTCACTGGAAACAGGAGACCTACCGGAAAGCTGGAAAACACCTAATGTAGTCCCAACATACAAAAAAAGGCTCTAGTATCATACCTTACTTTAGTATCATACTAACTATCAACCTGATACTAAGGTTTCAGTGACAATATCATGGGACTGATTTATTGCGTGTTGCGGGTGTGTGACTGATTTATTGTGTGTTGCAGGTGACGCGACAGGACCGGGAGACAATAAGCGTGCTGAGTTTAGTGCCGACCAGACACCATCACGGCCGGCAGCTGCTGTGTCGTGCGGAGAACCCCAGTCTTCCCTTAGCCACCATCGAGGACATCTTCACCCTCAACGTTGCCTGTAAGTCTAAAATGCGACGAAGGTGAAAGATTAGACCCCCATCCATCTTGGAACAAAAATATGGACTTGTTCTTGATTTTCACTGCTTAACAAACCTTAGTTCTTCAATTGGTTATTGGTTAGGCTAACTTCACAGTGACGTTCAAAGTGTCGTCGAAGAATATGCCGTCGGAGCTCCATCAAGAATACCCAAAGGTTTCCAATTCTTTTTGACTATGTTTGGCTTGTCTTTGTCATCAGTTAGGTTTACCTTCTCTCCCAGTTATTCCACGCAAATTTTTCGCTATTAGTTTATAATTAAATGCAGAAAGGAGAAAATCATTTTGGTTATAAAGTCGAATCTTTCTTTAATGTTCGAAAACTGTTGTGAGTCCCTTGGTGTAAGACCTTCCCTGTTGTGAGTCCCTTGGTGTAAGACCTTCCCTGTTGTGAGTCCCTTGGTGTAAGACCTTCCCTGTTGTGAGTCCCTTGGTGTAAGACCTTCCCTGTTGTGAGTCCCTTGGTGTAAGACCTTCCCTGTTGTGAGTCCCTTAGTATAACACCTTCCCTGTTGTGAGTCCCTTAGTGTAAGACCTCCCCTGTTGTGAGCCTATTGATGTAAGACCTTCCCTGTTGTGAGCCCCATGGTGTAAGACTTCCCCTGTTGCGAGCTTTTCACTACAGGATATTTACTGATTTCTTTATTGTAATACAATCGTTGAACTGTCAGCCGAGAAACCTTCGCTCTCCACAACTTTGGATGAGATACATAACTACAGTAACTAAGAGACGTGATATCAACGACACATGCTGGACACATGTAAAGAAACATGTGTCCTGGACACACGTGGCCGGCGTTCATAAACCCGGACAAAATATTTAACTGGAAGCGGATGCGTTTCAGAATGATATCGAATAAGAAAAGGAGAAAATGGTGCGTTAAAGGAAGGGTAGAGAGGAAGGGGAAAATTGTTGTGTACACCAGGGGAAAATGAGAAGGCGTAGGGGAGGCACAGAGAGAGAGAGAGAGAGAGAGAGAGAGAGAGAGAGAGAGAGAGAGAGAGAGAGAGAGAGAGAGAGAGAGAGAGAGAGAGAGAGAGAGAGAGAGAGAGAGAGAGAGAGAGAGAGAGAATTATCAGGGAGAAAGCGCCGAGCCATGACGACTATATAGCACTGGGAAGGGGTAAGGATAAGGATTTGGGATGGGACGGAGGGAGAAAGAATGGTACCAAACCACTTGGACGGTCGGGGATTGAACGCCGACCTGCACGAAGCAAGATCGTCGCTCTACCGTCCAGCCCAAGTGGTTGGGCTTGCAGTAGGGGGAGAGAAATGAAGAGTTTCAGGTACTATGTAAAGTAAAACAACATTGAGTTTTAAGTTAGTTACTAAAGTTCCTGAAAACGAAAATATTTTAAGAAATAAAGTAGATGGCTCCTAAATTATGTTTGCCACAGTATAGGAAAGTTGGATATGAACCTCCTTATACATCACAACCTTACACATGCAACACTGCTAATGTGCAACACTGTTAATATGGGGGTTATATTATGGTGCCATTCATATGACATTGATGCCATATGACCACGACACTCAAGCAGGTCGGCGTTCAATCCCCGGCCGTCCACAAGTAGTTGGGCACCATTCCTTTTTCCCCCCAAGTTCAAGTATGTTTATTGAGATAAGCAATAAACCCTGGAAACACAAACCGAAACTGTCTCTATTTTCCGCTTGTAACAACTTGTAATAAAGTTGTTACATCTTGGCTTAACGTGTTTATGACGTATTGGAACGTTGTTACAACTTGATATATTGGTTGTTATAACTGGTTAGGTGGTGTTAAAACTTGTTCGAACGTTGTACCAACGTCGTAGTTTCGGTGTGTGTTTGGAGGGAATACATCTCAAAGGGATAGAGTAGCTTAGGCTATTTCTACACCCCCTTTTTACCCCCGTCCCACCCCTAATCCTTATCCTGACCCCTATTCTCCAATTAGTTCCTTTCCCTTCCATGTTTCTCATATCTTGCAGACCGGCCGAAGGCAGTACTGGAGGTGGACTGGCCACGTCGCTCAGAGCTCATGACGGAGGGTAGCGACCTCTTCCTGGTCTGCCTCGTCGAAGCAAATCCCAAACCTTACAAGATCAAGTTCTTCCATAACGTAAGATTTTATATTTTTCTCCTGATTATTGCGGAAGTATTTCATTTTTGTTTAATTAGCTCTATTTTCAGCTGTTTTGTTAAGCATAGAACATATAATTTGTTTCGTAAAATGTATTATTTAGCGATAACGTACCTGGATTTCAGTGTACATATATATACGTATAAACTAAATTTATTTTTCACGTTTTAAGAAACAATATTGTCTGATAAACCCGGTCGACATTCCTATATATATATATTTAGGGGTTAAAAACTAGCTGTCGAGTCCCTCTTCCAAAGACAAATTATGAGAAGCCGTGTAGGACAAAACTGTATGTCATTGGATAAACTTTAAATATGTTTTAAGTTAGAGTATTTCCTTAATTTTCTTTAAATATTTAAGACACATCTTTCCTATAGGATAGTCATCAAGTGATGAGAGGTTAGAGTTGTGGTGAGAGGCATTAGCTGTGGTGTGAGGCATTAGCTGTGGTATGAGGCATTAGCTGTGGTGAGAGGCATTAGCTGTGGTGAGAGGCATTAGCTGTGGTGAGAGGCATTAGCTGTGGTGTGAGGCATTAGCTGTGGTGAGAGGCATTAGCTGTGGTGAGAGGCATTAGCTGTGATGAGTTGTGTTCATAAGTTGTGCTCATTAGTAATTATGTCTGAAAAGTTGTTGTGATTCAAAAGTTGCTGAGTCTCATAAGTAGTTGGGTCTCTTGGTGGTTGTGGAATATGTTGTGGTTGAAGGTTGTGAAGGGCCATAAGGAGAGTGTTATGGTGTGAGTGCTTCTCCACCGGTGGGCTGTGTTGTAGGGAAGATGGGTTCCTTGAGGTATAATGTTCCATTACATATGTCTCTCTTTGTATCTGTCTGCCTGCCTGCCTGTCTGCCTGCCGGTCTGCCTGTCTGTCTGACTGCAATGTCCCTGTGCAGGAGGAGGAGCTGGTACCCAACGAGGACGCTGGGGTACTGGTGAAGGAGGCGACGCTAAAACTTGAACACCTCACACGAGAGCACTCGGGCCGCTACCTGTGCGTCGCCTCCAACGTCGAGGGCGACTCGCACAGCAACAACCTCACCATCAACATCAAGTGTGAGTACGTGTTTGGGACTTGAGTGCTTGCTTTGTTCCTGTGAGCCCCGTGGCAAGCAGGAAGTTCACCCCTCCTGTCATTCGTGAATTTATACCCATTTAAAGCTGGTCTTTGGAGAAAGGGTAAACAATGGCATGCCACTATACAAGGCACTCCCCCAGATCCACACAGACCTGACGCTCCAACACACCCCAGCTCCCACACACACCTGACCCTCCAACACACCTGATCCTCCAACGCTCCCCCACACATGACAACACCATCAGGGCAGACACAGCTCACGACGGAGGAGGAGCCGCGGTAATGAGACGCCAGGTTTCATTTCCTATCCTCCGGAGGCGTCACAAAGAACTCCGGTAGGAGCATTTTCTCAGAAAATTGATTCTTCTGTTGGTTCTCGCCCGACAGGATCTAACCACAGGCAGGAGGGCAAGGTGAAGCATGGGGGGCAAGAGAAACAGCTAAACATTTGCTCCTTAAAGACAAGAAAATATGTCTTTAAGAACACGTAAACTTGCCTTTAAAGACAAAAAACTAACCCTTTAAAACCAGAAAATATATGGCCTTTAGGATAGTGATATATGTGCCATTAAAGAGAAGGGAACACAGGCACTTTAGAAAAAGGAAATACTTTAGGACGAGAGAGCAAATGCCCTAAAGGACAAGGGTTGATGATTTAATTTAATGATAATTAATTATTATATATTAATTATTGATAGTTAATATAATGATTTTGGGAATGAATGCCCTCAAATGCTTGGGTTTTATCAGCCCTTATTTGGATGAAAACTATTCAAGTGGTAAGAAAGTATTTTTCTTTGACTTGGAGAGAAAATACTTCTGACTATGGTGACGATAATATTTCGAATGTTACGGGAGGCTAGAAAAACACCTTTGCATAATTTGAAATGATAATTTTGCTTATATAAGTCTACATAACGTTGCAGGCGATGAGTCACAATAACGTGGCTAAAGTAAGTTGACCAGACCACACACTAGAAGGTGAAGGGACGACGACGACGTTTCGGTCCGTCCTGGACCATTCTCAAGTCGATTGAGAATGGTCCAGGACGGACCGAAACGTCGTCATCCGTTCACCTTCTAGTGTGTGGTCTGGTCAATCTATGTAACGTTCGTTTAGGATTGAAAGAAAATTTCAAGCTAGGTTTGCCTTCCGGGTCGAGGCCACTAGAGACAAGGGGTATTATTAAGGCATCAACAAGGTACGGTAAAAACACTCAAGGATAAATGAAAATATTTATTAAAAAATGAAAATTTTGGCAGAAGGAGAGGGAGAGAGGGAATTATCAAGGGAAAGCACCAAGCCATGGGGAGCCGGTCGGCCGAGCGGACAGCACGCTGCACTTGTGATCCTTTAGTCATGGGTTCGATCCCAGGCGCCGGCGAGAAACAATGGGCAGAGTTTCTTTCACCCTATGCCCCTGTTACCTAGCAGTAAAATAGGTACCTGGGTGTTAGTCAGCTGTCACGGGCTGCTTCCTGGGGGTGGAGGCCTGGTCGAGGACCGGGCCGTGGGGACACTAAAAAAGCCCCGAAATCATCTCAAGATAACCTCAAGATAGCCATTACGACTATACAGCACTTGGAAGGGGTCAGCAGGATAAGCTGACCCCTTCACCCCTTTTCTGAAAGACGGGAAAACACGTATCTGTAGGAGACATAATACATATGAAAATTAGAGAAAATTTGCTTAGAGTACGACAATATTTCCAGGTTGAAGAAACGAAATATTCCCTGCATCCTGAAGGTTAATAAGACTTTAAGAGAGAAAAAAGGGGACAGAAATACGAGGAAAACAATATTAGAAGTGGAAGAGAAGTAATGAAGAGGAGGAAAACGTGCTGGGAAATGGGAACTGGAGAGGAGAAAACACCGGAGAACAACAGAACGAGAGGTGAAGCAATTATGAGCAGCTGTGAAGGAGATTGTCCAGGAAATTGATATGATTGGCTTACAGGAAGTGTGGTCGGGCCATTAGCGACCGACGGAGTGCTGACATTGGGATGTGGGACACGAACGTTTACGTGTTTCACCACATTATTAAGGAAATACTGACAGATGCCTCAAGCGTTTGGGATTATGTTCTCAACTTCACCTGATCAGACGAAGACCCATGAGCTAAAAAATTATTAATGGAAATGACATGAAGGTGAGAATTCAGTGGATATTATCTGGGGTATTCAGTGGATATTTCCTGGTGGGGTATTCAGTGGATATTATTTGGGGTATTCAGTGGATATTAACGGGTATTCAGTGGATATTAACTGGGGTATTCAGTGGATATTAACTGGGGTATTCAGTGGATATTAACTGGGGTATTCAGTGGATATTACATGGGGTATTCAGTGGATATTACATGGGGTATTCAGTGGATATTATCTGGGGTATTCAGTAGATATTACATGGGGTATTCAGTGGATATTATCTGGGGTATTCAGTGGATATTTCCTGGGGGTATTTAGTGGATATTTCCTGGGGTATTCAGTGGATATTACTTGGGGGGTATTCAGTGGATATTACAAGGGGTATTCAGTGGATATTATCTGGGGTATTCAGTGGATATTACCTTGGGTATTCAGTGGATATTATCTGGGGTATTCAGCGGATATTACATGGGGTATTCAGTGGATATTTCCTGGGGTATTCAGTGGATATTATCTGGGGTATTCAGTGGATATTACATGGGGTATTCAGTGGATATTATTTGGGGTATTCAGTGGATATTAACTGGGGTATTCAGCGGATATTACATGGGGTATTCAGTGGATATTACCTGGAGTATTCAGTGGATATTAACTGGGGTATTCAGTATTCAGGATATTACAGTAGATATTATCTGGGTATTCAGTGGATATTATCTGGGGTATTCTGGATATTTCCTGGGGTATTCAGATATTTCCTGGGGATATTATTAACTGGGGTATTCAGTGGATATTACATGGGGTATTCAGTAGATATTATCTGGGGTATTCAGGGGATATTATCTGGGGTATTCAGTGGATATTATCTGGGGTATTCAGTGGATATTATCTGGGGTATTCAGTGGATATTTCCTGGGGTATTCAGTGGATACTAACTGTGTATTCCCTCTTTCTTGGAAAATACAACACATACACTTATTACTTACATCATTTTATACTATCACAAATCTTACCAATTATAAAGTTATCTAATTTATATAATCCTGGACTTACAGAGATATCATCAAAATCACTACTTTTTATAAATGAAGATTAAAACATATTTCCATATTTTCACTCAGGAATTTCCTATAAATAATCATGAAATGGCAGAATTATTTCATTTTTTATATTGAATTCTTTATTTTCAAACTAAAGAAAGTGTAATGAGTAATTTGGCTTGCTTTATCAATAAATGATGACTTAGGGTATTTCAAATATAATCCTAGACTATAGATGGCACTTATTTCATCAAGGGGCCGGCCGGCCGAGCGGACAGCACGCTGTACACGTGATCCTGTGGTCCCGGATTCGATCCCGGGCGCCGGTGAGAAACGATAGGCAGAGTTTCTTTCACCCTGATGTCCCTGTTACCTAGCAGTAAATAGGTACCTGGGAGTTAGTCAGCTGTCACGGGCTGCTTCCTGGGGGTGGAGGCCTGGTCGAGGACCGGGCCACGGGGACACTAAAAAAGAAGCCCGAAATCAACTCAAGATAACCTCAAGATAGATCTATAAACTCAGGACTACATATCCTACATAAACTCAGGACTACATATCCTACATATCCTACATAAACTCAGGACTACATATCCTACATAAACTCAGGACTACATATCTACTAGCCCTCAGAAACATTGAACCAATTACAATTCCTTTTACTCCTTGATGTTGAGATCAGTAAAATTGTACACAAGACCCAGCATTTGTTGGTTTTCAATATACAGAAAACATGAAAATATTTTCACATTTATAAATGATACCATTTAAGAACTATAAAGAGTTATCTTGTTCCATTTCCATTGTAACCTTAATGGATGGCGCTAGATTATTTCATTCTAATAACAATGTATCCAGGTTTCTAGTCTTAGGCCACAAGCACAACAGATCATCAACATAACGGAATTATGTACCATTAGGAGGCAAAAATTTTTACCTAATAGTCTTATTTCATAGAACTTCATATATGGATTGCTTAAAACTGGAGAAACAGGAGAAAGAGGGTTATCCATAACAATTACAAGTTTTTGACAATAATACATTATTAAAAACAAAATTAGAGTTAATAACGCAGAGTTTACCAATTCAATTAAAAATGATTTAACCCTCCCAGTTCATATTTTAACAGTTCTTCAGGTAAAACTCTAAGTCTGGTTCCAGTGTTCCAGTGGATGACTTTAATGGCAGTTCCATAGCTTCAGTATCATATAAGCTGTCGAAATGGCTAGTCCAAATTTTACATCATATTGTTGGCAATATGTTCAATTCAAATATAAATAATAATGTTGATTTAGTTTAAAAATTATGTAATATGAAATACCTCTGAAATTATGAAATGGCTACTTTGATGTAACTTCTATACTCACTAAAGTTCCAGTTGATGAGTTACTAATATATTTATCTGATGAACTTCTGAAATGTGATTTGCCCTAACTAGTTCCAACCTAAATAGAATTGATAAAACTGTGTGTTATTAGCTCTAATTTTGCTTTTAATAATGAATTCTACTGTCATAATGTTGCAATGGCCATGGGTAACCAGTTGACCTGCTGGTCGACCAGTCCAGCAACCAGGAGGCCTGGTCGACGACCGGGCCGCAGGGACGCTAAGCCCCGGAAGCACCTCAAGGTAACCTAACCCTGTTTGTCTGTTGTAGCCCTCTCAAGGGTAACCCTTTCATGGGTAACCGTCTCATGGGTAACCGTCTTAAACCTTGTTTGACCTCTCTTATAGACTCACCGCGGTGCGCCATGACCCCTGGAGTGGTGGGAGTGGCTTTGGGAGAGGTCACCAACATCACCTGTCACGTCGACGCTGACCCAGACAATGTCACCTTCATGTGGACCTTCAACAACGCCGCCAAGAGGGTCAGAAGCCGCGTCATTGACAGTAAACTGTGAGTTCCAATCTCTCGTGAGTGAATCTGTCGTTTTATCTGCCATAGAGGACAGTAACAAGACGTTTCTTTAATTAAAACAGTATTGTAGTGAACTATTAGTTATTATTTGTATTGTTAGGGAAAACTAGCGGGTCTTTTGATGATTTATGTTCCAAACAGAGAAGGTGCGGTAAATATATAATGACACATGTTATGTATTTGAGCTCTGAACTTTAGTTTATGTAAATAACGTTTTATATCTTGATTCTGCATTCATAGTTTATTGGTCTATAATATTATATATATATATATATATATATATATATATATATATATATATATATATATATATATATATATATATATATATATATATATATATATATATATATATATATATATATATATATAAAATTACCACAAAAGATAATACGTCACCGATGGACTCTGGAACAAGGAACGGATCTAAGCTACATCTATTTTATAATCTTAGAGTTGTATACAAGAAATCCAATAAGTAAACAATCTTAATTTTAAAATAATAAGAATTACAAATGTAAATTAAAGATTCCCTCCTATAAACACTGAAGAGAATAACATGTCCTAAGCTGATAAAACACAAATATTAAGGAAGCAAACATTTTTTTAAATTAGGTTAAGTACCTTCGACCTGTTTTGCGTCTTCCTAAATGTTTTTTTTTTTTAAAGTCTCAATAACATCATAATGGCCCCGAAACAAATCTGTCGCTCCGGTCATTACAACATTAAAAGTTCCGGGAAAAATTAATTATCTTACGCTTTTAAGAATTTACAAGATTTTGGAAAACATAAAGTTTGGAGTTTGTACCTGAAGGAATATTTTTTGCTCTTTTTCTCAGTGTAGTTAAGACGAATTAACAGAGGAGGTAGAGAAGGAAGAGGAGGAGGAAGAGGAATAGGTGGAGGAGGAAGTGATGGAAGAGTTGTTGTTCCCTGTTATCCCATTTTTCAAAACATCTTCTGATATGGGTGTCGACTTCTCTATTGTTGTGCCCGTTGTTTATTGATACTTGAATGCTTCTAATAAATGTTCCAATTTAAGTTTTAAAACAAGTCTGCATAATAAACAGAATATTCCAACAAAAATATAGATTTTTTGTTTAAATTAGCTCTCATGTTTCTGTATTTTGTAATGTGTCTATGAATATTTACACATTTAAAAATGATTGATTTTTAAACTTTATTTTAATTCATTAAGAATTATTTCAGAAGTGACAGTGATTAGTTCTTGTATAAATGAATAGCTATCTTAACTTTTTGCAAACCATATCAATTATAAATATACAATCATTTATGTGAAGAATTATTTAATTGATCTGACTTATAAGATTTAATGACACACTTAAGGATAAATTTATATGTATAATACAATTTGAGGAAGGAGTTAATTTCCAAATTTCATTCGCAAGAGAAGAACAACATAATTGAGATGAAGAAGCAGGTGAGAGAAAGACATGGATAAGGACACATTAATATTCTATTACTTTGTTTTTACTACTTATCCTACTAATTATCTCTCTTATTTATATCTTTAATTATCGCTGTTTTTCCCGCTTCCTTTGAACCTTAAATTTCCTTTCAATCTCCAGTGCTCCGACCTTCAATATCTTCCTATATCTCTAACCCTCCTTCCCTACTTCACTCTGTTACAGGCACAGTGCCTCAGGCTTGACCAGCGTGTTGAGGTACTCCCCGGCCTCCGTCAGAGATTACGGCGTTCTCTCCTGCTACGCCTCCAACAACCTGGGGACACAGCGGGAACCCTGTACCTTCACCTTAGTCACGGCAGGTAGGTGCTGGCTGGCTCTTTCACCTTAGTTGATAAGTCCAGCAACCAGGAGTCGCCTGGTCGACGACCGGGCCGCGGGGACGCTAAGCCCCGGAAGCACCTCAAGGTAACCTCAAGGTAGTTACGGCAGGTAGGTGCTGGCTGGCTCACCTACTGACTAGCTAGTTCCGTTCCTGGCAGATGGCCTGTGAGACTGAACAGTAGAATTAACAGCGAGATAATTTATTTATCAAGGAGTAAGTGACAGAGAAACTTAGGTAAATAATGAAAAATGACTTGGCTAGTGACATCGATGACGGATCAGTTACATCAACAGTGACCTCATTTGGATCACTGATCTGCAAATGTTTTCAGGAGTTCACTGAAAACAGATCCATTTTGTAGCTTCAGTATTTCACCCATTTCTTTGCTGTCATATGTGAAGGTTCCATCACTCTTGCGCAAGGGCCCAATCCAGGATGAAATTTTTGTTCTAGATTTTGCATGGAGGAAAAAAAGTATTTTGGATTTTTCTCTATTTTACTTATGACCTTTTGCTCTTTTTTTGAGCCTCACCTGGATTTTATTGCAACTTTAGCTCAATCGTTTCTATTTCTCGACATAGTCTTCTTTGTCGTTCTTGGGAGAGAGTTGAGCATATAAGATGTTCTGTAATTTGTTTCCTCTCCTGTAGAGGAGACGCCGTTCTCAAGGACCCGTGTGACAAGGACCCGTGTGACAAGGACCCGTGTGACAAGGACCCGGGTGACAAGGGCTCTATAGTATGGTTGTCCATGGTAGGAGCGGTCACTGGCACAGTGCCTCTGTGTAGGCACTGTAGAGTACTCTGTAGAGTACTTGTTTATAATGTAGGAAACACAATCCCCCCAAAAATATACAAAATACTAAAACTTTACGTATGTTAAAATAATTTAAATATTACGTTTGTTAAAATGATTTAAATGTTACGTGTGTTAAAATAATTTTAATGTTTAATTTATTAAAATGATTTAAATCTTACGTATGTTAAACTGATTTAAATATTACGAAGGTTAAACTGATTTAAACACGTATGTTAAAATGATTTAAATGTTACGTGTGTTAAAATAATTTTAATGTTTAATTTATTAAAATGATTTAAATCTTACGTATGTTAAACTGATTTAAATATTACGAAGGTTAAACTGATTTAAACACGTATGTTAAAATGATTTAAATGTTACGAATGTTAAAATTAAGTTACCACCTAAGTTTTTAGCAAATGTTGTAGATGTTAAAGTATGGCTAATGTTGCTATGTTATAATTGTAATTGTTAATAAGGGTGTTTTGTCCATGTATGCACACTCTCCTCTTGCTCTGTTCCTTATCTTTTCAAATTATCTTTATTTCCCCTCACTTTCATATTCATTTCTTTTAATTAATTTTTTCTAATATTCTACACATTCTCCCTACACTTACACTCGCTACATATATGGCATACCTCTAATAACTTCTCTTTCTTCTTTTCCTATCTTTGTCCTCTCTCTTTTTTCTTGCCTTCTTCCGGTTGCTTTCCCTTTCCTTTCGTATTTAATCTCATTACTTTTCTCATCGTCTTCGCTTCTCTCAATTTATCTCCTCTGCAATATCATTCAATCTCTTTTTATACCTCTTTTACAACGATTTTCCTCTCTCTCTCTCTCTCTCTCTCTCTCTCTCTCTCTCTCTCTCTCTCTCTCTCTCTCTCTCTTTCCCCTTTGTTTTCACTCTTACGGAGTTCCGTTATTCTTCCCTTTACTCTATTTTTGCCCCACGTTCTTTCCCTTCATTGTTCTTTCTTCCCTCCGTTATGCTCTTTCTTTCCCACCTCTCTGCTGACCCCTGCTTCTTCTCCCCCCCTGGCAGGTCCCCCAGAGAAGGTCAACAACTGTAGCGTGTTCAACGTGACCTCTCACAGTGCCCAAGTGTTCTGTTCCTCAGGGGTCAACAGCGGCCTCACGCCTCACTTTCTGCATCAGGTAGGTTCTGTCCTCTCTGTCTGTCTGTCTCTCTGTCTGTCTGTCTGTCTGTCTCTCTCTCTCTCTCTCTCTCTCTCTCTCTCTCTCTCTCTCTTATCTCTTTCTCTCACTCCCTATATATCTTTCTTTCTCTTTAACTGTATTTTTTATATTCCCATGTATGTTTGTTGATAACGAGCTCGCTGCTAACTCCACCTTTCGAACATTAGTAGTTTAAGGCGATGAATCGGTTCCTGTGTGACTTATATCATACATTCATTAACAATTTAGTAATGCGTTAGCTTCAACAACTTTTCCGTCGAATATATCATCTAATTAACATTGAAAAAGTTATTTCTAACATCCTTGTGCCTCATTGGGCCTTTATAATTTCTACCTAAGTTCTGTTTTTTTATATTGCTATATAATTCTTACTTTTGTGAACTCTCTTTAGAATCATATGTCCTAATCTTGTGGTTATTAATTCGCATCTCGTCCAGTGTGGTGACGTCCAGATCTCGTGGTTGATGCTAATATGTTAATCTCCTTTAGATCTTATACGAACCTTGTTTCATATCTCTGAACATGTTACGGTTCCATGCCAGGGTTCCATGCCAGGGTTCCATGCCACGGTGGGTTTCATGCCAGGGTTCCATGCCAGGGTTCCATGCCAGGGTTCCATGCCACGGTTCCATGCCAGGGTTCCATGCCAGGGTTCCATTCCAGGGTTCCATGCCAGGGTTCCATGCCACGGTGGGTTCCATGCCAGGGTTCCATGCCAGGGTTCCATGCCAGGGTTCCATGCCAGGGTTCCATGCCAGGGTTCCATGCCAGGGTTCCATGCCAGGGTTCCATGCCAGGGTTCCATGCCAGGGTTGCATATACAAAAGCGCGTCACTTAGGTTGAGCATATAAATCTTTACATCAAATTCACAAATACATAAGTATGGATTTTTATCCAGTGCTCTTATCTTTGAGAAAAAACATGACCATTACTTATAATTAATATTATTATTATTTGTATTATAGATTATTATTATTATTTTCATTTTCAACACGGCACTTTGAACCAGTAACGTCAGTTAAATAATTACTTATGTGATCAGGTCACTATGTGAAAATTTTTTTTTTTATTCGAGCATGTAACTGAATTTAAATCAAAAATAATAACGTAGAGCTTAAAAAAAATGGCTTATAACCATTGAGTTGATTATGGTTCTGGTCGCTGTGTTTGCTCAACAATTCCCTCGTGTTCTGATGGCGGAAAAATCCCACTACAGAAAACAAGGATGTTCGGAGGTAATAATTTTAGCAAATTGTCGAGACGCCAACCACATCAGGAGCTCTTAACGATTAAATTGGAAGTAGGTTACATTACATTGAACTGCCAAGCAACTGGCAAACAACCGAGACACGAATCTGTAAGACGTGTGAATAAATAACAAGGAAGCCAGAGATTCATCCAGGCTAAACTAGAAACATTTTTTTTATATGAATCTCCTTGACACACTAAAATGAATCAAGACAGATGTCTCTAAGACACTAACAAAACGACAGAGAGCCCAGATACGTACTTCAGAGATACCCTATGCCCGACTGTCCACATCTCTTCTATCATACGTGTAAGAATACCATATAAATATACACTATGAGGTGTATATAGCCCTCTTCGCGATGTATAGACACTGAGTTTACTTTTGTAGGTATGCTCAAGGGTAATGTACACCTGTTGGCTGGTCAGTAAAGTATTGTGGTTGGCCACAAGTCCGGCCCCAAACAAGCATTTCAAGCACCACGAACAGATCTTAACAATGACAAAGAGCTTCGTTAAGAAACAAATCCACAAGGGCCGTGACGAGGATTCGAACCTGCGTCCGAGAGCTTCGTTAAGAAAGCGATAAATGATAACATTAAACAAATGAAAAAAAAAATAGATAAATGCAGTGTTTTCCCCTTTCCAGCGCTAGAGTAGTTCCTCAGCGGGAGGACCCTGGTTCTAATCCTCCGCAGGCGAGGGAAGGAGAAGGCGGAGGCGCTATTGATGACTCTGTAGTCTTAATTTCATTAGAATTGGGGGGAGGGGCAGTCTTCCCTCGCGGGCCCTCAGGAGTGCTGCAAAGATTGTCTGCATTACCTTCCCCTCACTCTGGGTACGACACGGATCTCCCCTCTACCCTTCCCCTCACTCTGAGGACAACACGGATCTCCCCTCTACCCTTCCCCTCACTCTGGGCACGACACGGATCTCCCCTCTACCCTTCCCCTCACTCTGAGGACAACACGGATGTCCCCTCTACCCTTCCCCTCACTCTGGGCACGACACGGATCTCCCCTCTACCCTTCCCCTCACTCTGGGCATGACACGGATCTCCCCTCTACCCTTCCCCTCACTCTGAGCACGACACGGATGTCCCCTCTACCCTTCCCCTCACTCTGGGGAGGACACGGATCTCCCCTCTACCCTTCCCCTCACTCTGGGCACGACACGGATCTCCCCTCTACCCTTCCCCTCACTCTGGGTACGACACGGATCTCCCCTCTACCCTTCCCCTCACTCTGGGCAGGACACGGATCTCCCCTCTACCCTTCCCCTCACTCTGGGCACGACACGGATCTCCCCTCTACCCTTCCCCTCACTCTGGGCAGGACACGGATCTCCCCTCTACCCTTCCCCTCACTCTGGGCAGGACACGGATCTCCCCTCTACCCTTCCCCTCACTCTGGGCAGGACACGGATCTCCCCTCTACCCTTCCCCTCACTCTGGGCAGGACACGGATCTCCCCTCTACCCTTCCCCTCACTCTGGGCAGGACACGGATCTCCCCTCTACCCCTCCGTGCTTGCTACTTCATCTCGAGTTACTGAATGATTTTTTCTGACTGCTGTAGCGTGAGTCTACTCGCGTATGCAGGCGATGAGTCACAATAACGTGGCTGAAGTATGTTGACCAGACCACACACTAGAAGTTGAAGGGACGACGACGTTTCGGTCCGTCCTGGACCATTCTCAAGTCGATTGTGAATGGTCGACTTGAGAATGGTCCAGGACGGACCGAAACGTCGTCGTCCCTTCAACTTCTAGTGTGTGGTCCGGTCAATCTACTCGCGTATATTTTGTGTGAAGAGAATGAGATCATGCTCCTGGGCCATTTACCATTTATTGGACTGGATGATTCGCCATTAACCACCTGCGTTTTATAAAATTTGTTCTTCGGCCGTTTGAACAGCGTCTGTCTCCACCACTTTCTCTTGTTTGGAGTGATCAGTTTCACTGTGTGATGCTTCTTGCAACACCCAACACTTGCGAACAGTTTAAAGTACTTGACGGTGAACAAATCCACAAGGGCCGTGACGAGGATTCGAACCTGCGTCCGGGAGCATCCCAGACACTGCCTTAATCGACTGAGCTACGACAGGGTAAAACTTGACGGTGTTGTTAGACACGCTTTGTGTCTCTATAATGTCTATCCTTGCCCAAAGTTGTACTTGGTTCAGGTCTCCTAGATTGTCTACACAGCTCGGTACATTTATTAAAGGAATCAGCCTTGTAGAACTCCAAAGACTTTCTCAATTTTGTTATATATGAACAAATCCACAAGGGCCGTGATGAGGGCTCGAACCTACGTCTGAAAGGCTACCGGACGCTGTGTTTGTTATATACGCTTCTGTGGTTCCTACTCGGTCCTGACCTATCAGTGACTACTGGGAGGTGAGGTCTAGCTCTTGTGCCCCGCCTACTAGAGCGTGACAAGGGCCTTGTTGCACCCGTTGTGTTATAGCTTAACTATTATAATGCTTTCAATCTTTGTCGATCCTGTCCTTAAATGTGTTGATGGAGGTGGCTTCCATAGCTTCTTCTCTCAGTGCATTCCCCCTTGCTGACGACCCGTGCAGGGTACGAGAACTTCCTTATAATTCTTCGTCTCATTTGTCTATCCAACTTCTACTTGTATTCTCTCGTTTTATTTTCTCTCAACTTAAAGAGGCTGTCCTCTTCCACCTTGTCTATTCTCCTCAGTAGTTTGTGTGTTGGCATCACATGTCTACTGTTTATTCTGTCCTCCAAGGCTGTAAGGTGCAGTGCCCTCAGCCAATCCTCATTGCTTAGTCATTTCAGCTCTGGCACTAATATTATTGCAAACCTCTGTACTTTTTAAATTTAGGTTTATGCCTCAAAAGTGTGGACTTCAGTCTGGTGTGGACCTCATGCTTACCCAATATTCAGTAATATAATCCATTGAATTTACATACTTAGTGTATTCACTATTTGTATTCACCTATTTGATTCTGCAAAATCGAGATTATTTGATTTTGGACCTCCACATATCCAACCGAAGAACGCCTGATGAAATAAATAACTTTTGACATATTTTCTGTATCTGATACTCCAACTACTGACCATCCCCCAGGATGCCTTGCACAACAGCTGTCTAACTCACGGGTACAAATTTACTGTTAGGTGAAGAGAGGAATCAGGTGAAGGGAAACATTGGCCACACTCGTCTGTCCTAACCTTGGAATCGAAACCTCAATTCTAGGTTGTGAGTCTACAACTGAGCTCATGGACAACATAGCTGTGTGTGTGTGTGTGTGTGTGTGTGTGTGTGTGTGTGTGTGTGTGTGTGTGTGTGTGTGTGTGTGTGTGTGTGTGTGTGTGTGTGTGTGTGTGTGTGCGTTATATCCTCTCTCTTCTAACCACAGGAAGATAAAAAAAGCTGAAGTTCCAGGTGCGTAAATGCATTCTTGTGAGCCTTGTGAGAATACTTACCGTAAAAAATGGAGACATCACAACGGGCCAACATATTTAAACTGGACTTTGTGTCCTTACATCTCTTGGAGAGAAGAGCTTTTACCTCTTATTGGAGTCGGCTCATTGGCTCCGCTACCCCTAAGTTTAACGAGTGTTGTGCAACATTTAATGCAGTATTTGGTCAAGGGGAAATAGAAAGCAAGAGAGAGAACACATGAGCACTGTAGTTATGGATCCAGATACATAATACATTCTAGTTCTTTTTAAAGAAACATTACACTCGGCTCGCTCCTCCAGGCTGAGTCTTTTAGGGATGAGATCTTTCTCTGAGTTTGGAATTTGGATTTCTTGGCAAACTTTGTTTTTAGCAAAATATATATATTAAAATTAATCATTACGACTATTGTCAATTGAGGATTATCATTAAATTTAATCATGTTGAATCTGTTGTAACCATTTAAGATGAGGAAGAAATAAAAAAATATATTAGAAATAATTATTTTCTTTGATATAGACAAAAATGATCTTTAAACCAAACATTTCCAGCTTAAACAGCCATAAATTACTCATTCTGCAACATTACCTCTATGTCAAAACTTTCTTGCACGGTTTGCAACCATAACAAACTGCAAAACTTGGATTACACACATTATTAATATAATAAATTATATATAAGTTTAGAATCTCTTATAATGATTAAAGCCGAAGATTTGAGTATCTGTTGGATAAAATTCAACCAAAGTCTGCATATCTTCTCCATGTTCACCAAAGGTCACCACAATAGCTTACTCACCAAATAGTAAGTATACTTTGTTATTGAACAAAGTCCAGAGCTAAAGTAGAGTCTCAGTGTTTTTTTCATCATGGAATGGGGTTCACTCAGTGAATATTTCACCTTGTGGAGTTCAAACACCTGTGCTTACCTTAATTAAGGCGTGATGGTTTGGTTTAAGATTAAGGAAGCCGGTCGGCCGAGCGGACAGCACGCTGGACTTGTGATCCTGTGGTCCTGAGTTCGATCCCAGGCGCCGGCGAGAAACAATGGGCAGAGTTTCTTTCACCCTACGCCCCTGTTACCTAGCAGTAAAATAGGTACCTGGGTGTTAGTCAGCTGTCACGGGCTGCTTCCTGGGGATGGAGGCCTGGTCGAGGACCGGGCCGCGGGGACACTAAAGCCCCGAAATCATCTCAAGATAACCTCAAGATAACCTCAAGAAGATATTTGCGTGAAGTTTTCATGGAAAATGCTCAACTCGCCTCGCTCGCTTCGAATCTCCTAAAATCCCACCATCTTGTCTTCAAACCAGACACGTAGCGTCCAAGAGACTGTAATGGACACTTGCGGCCCCCCAGTCACTACCTCTTCCACCTGACTGCCAGTTCCCCTCTCCTTCTACCCTTCCACTTTTCCTCTTCCATCTGTAAACATCCGTCCCTTTGTTCCTCGGAACCTTTCCCACCACTATCAGAACCTTTCTCTCCACGTGACTGAGAACAAGACTTTACACACAGAGATCACACTAACGTGATGCATCAAATGAACAAATCCACAAGGGCCGTGACGAGGATTCGAACCTGCGTCCGGGAGCATCCCAGACACTGCCTTAATCGACTGAGCTACGACAGGGTTAAAAGAGTTGAAACTGAAGTTTTACTGAACTTACTGGATCCCGTAGCCTCTCCGAGGCACAAACCAGGCTTTTACACAACTCCCCCCCTGCATCCGAGCTATGTCAATAGGCCGTTCTCCCTCTTCGCCGCAGGTTCGAATCCTCGTCACGGCCCTTGTGGATTTGTTCATGAGAACAAGATCCTTTCTGAGCCTGAGACTGAGACTGCGATCATCATCAAGTGTATTTAGGAAGACTTACCAAGTTTGTTTTCTTAACATTAAGACTCTTGTGTTCTTATCTGTAAGAGTTTCCCGGAACAGTTCTTTATTAATCATGGGCTCTTGAGTGACTGTATCAGTAGTAAATGATACAGTTATATATATATCTAGTTATATTATATCCATCACTTGTAAATGAGACCGTATGAATAGTAAATTAGAGTGTATTACAGATAAATGCCACTGTATCAAGAGTAAATGTGATTGAATTACTGGTAACCCCGACTGTATCAGTAATAAATGACACTGTATCACAACTAAATGAGATTGTTTCACAGGTACATGAGACTGTATAACCGGTAAACGAGACTGAATAACTGGTAAATAATATTGTATCACTAGTACATAAAACTAAATCACTGTTAAATTCCACTGTATCGTTGATAAATTCCACGTATCAATAATAAATGAAACAGTATCGCTGTGATTTGAGTTTATTGCTGGTAAATAAGAACAATATAAATGTAAATATTTATAAGATAAATAATAAATGATAAATATGGAGTTGAGAAGGGGGAGAGAGGGAAGAGATTTTAGAGAAAGAGAAGACGTTGGAGAGAAAGTGAAGAAAGGTGAAGACTGTGGGAGAGGGAGAAAGGGTGAAGAGGGAAGGAGAGTGGAAGAAGAGGAGTTGTATGGGAAGAAAGGTACAGAAGGGAGAAGAGGGGGAAGGAAGACTAGGAGAAAAGGGGGGGGGGGTGAAATAGGGGGATGGTGTGAGAGAGGAAGGTGCAGAAGGGTACCAACTCTAGAATATTTGGGGTATTTGGGTACTCGGCGATGCCCCGAGTAGACCCAGTGCCCAGGCCCCTCCCAAACACCTTCTCCCCCCCCGACATTATAGATCTCTTACAGGTGTTTCCCCCCCCCCCACACACACACAACCCTAAACCCCCTCCCCACCACAATAGGCCCACTGGATCTCCGCAAACACACACACACACACCCTCTCAAATATTCACCTTCCTCTCTCTCTCGCCAAATCACTGTATCCATTTTCACTTTCACACGCCTCGGTTGAGAGGCGAGACCAAAGAGCCAGAGCTCAACCCCCGCAAGCACAACTAGGTGAGTACATCTTCTTAATCCTTACACAAATCTGCGCATCCTCCCCTGAGCATCTGAATCATCATTTTGCATGTCATTATTGCAATACACTAATATTTAAATCAATGCTAAACTCAACTAAGTTATGGGAGCTCAGTTCACAACCACAGACTTTGTGATGAACGATCCTCCCTTCCCCTTTAAGGGGGGGGGGAGGGGGGAGGGGGGGACAGGAGGGACCGTCTTTGACTACCCTACGACACTCTACATATAATCATCAGTCACCATGCAAAAGTTGCGTGAGGTTATACCCCCAAGTATCTATCTTAGTACATTTTCTTTTATATATATATGGAGTACCTAGTGGTCCCGGGTCTCTGTCTGTCTGTCTGTCTGTGTCTCCTTTCCTCCAATTCTCCCATCTTTCCCTTCCTCCTTCCTATTCTCCAGTTCTCCCTCCCATTCTCAATCCATCCCTACCATTCTCCCTCCCTTTCTTCCACTGTCCCTCCCTCCCATACTTCTTCCCTCACCCCTATCATTCTCCGTTCTTCCCTCTCTTCCCTTTTCCCTCCTTCTCTCCCGTTTCCTTTCCCCTTACCCATCTCGTCGTCTCTCACACTGGACGAGACGTACTTGAGTAACGTTGACTCATCATCAACAACGTTGAACTAAGGTTTACAATTTAAAGTCGATAACAGCTTTATAATTTATTGGTAACACTTTATTGACAATTAAACCCACAGTGCAGACTTCAAAGGAGTCGTTGGGTGCAGCAATATCAGGGGGGGGGGAGAGAGAGAGAGAGAGAGAGAGAGAGAGAGAGAGAGAGAGAGAGAGAGAGAGAGAGAGAGAGAGAGAGAGAGAGAGAGAGAGAGAGAGAGAGAGAGAGAGAGAGAGAGAGAGATACCCGGATACCACCAGGTACCCCTGTCCCTAGTAGTTAATATTTAAAGCCTAATAACTCCCTTAACTTACCCATACCTCTTGCTCCACATCCCTGCCCCCTAACCCTCATCCCTGGACCTTCACATGCCCTATTCCTCATCCCTGGACCTTCATATGCCCTATTCCTCATCCCTGGACCTTCATATGCCCTATTCCTCATCCCTGGACCTTCACATGCCCTATTCCACACACCTAAATCTCCTGTCTCTTCACTCATAACTCCTACTCCTTCTCCTCCTACTCCTCCTGCTCCACAGATCCGGGTAGCGTCGTCAGGAGAGCTGGTGTTCAACAGGACGTCACAACATCCCTACTTCAATGTGACGTCTCTGCGTCAGGACGAGACGTACGTCATCACCGTCGTGGCCTTCAACACCCGCGGCAAGTCTTTTCCGCAGCGGCTCCACCTTCACACCCTCAGGGAGCTTGAGACACACTTGAGTAAGTCCTGAGTTTGGCTCCTTGGCTGCGAGTGTGAGAGGAAAGGTGAGAGGTAAGGGTGTGGCTGAGTGTTTGTGTATGGATGAATTTGTGTGTTTCTCTACTAATGTATATCTGGTACCTGAGATATTTTAATCCTGTCTTTTAAAGACAGAATTTTGCAACCCGTTCTCGCACTTTCTTACAGTCGATATTGACTTTTTGACGTGCCTATGTGACATACTAAACATACTACTTTACCTTGAAAAGCTTCATAGAAAACACCGACCTTACCTAACCTTCTTAGGTAAGATATGTTAAGATAAGCATCTTATTGCTTCGTAATTACAATTATTACTTAATCTATACCTATAATAGGTTAAGTAATAATTGTAATTACGAAGCCATAAGATGCTTATTTCAACATACTAAGAAGGTTAGGTAAGGTCGGTGTTTTCTATGAAGCTTTTCAAGGTAAACTAGTATGTTTAGTATGTCACATATGCACGTATTTAATAAGTCAATATTGACTATACGAAAGTGCGAGAACGGGTTGGAATTTTGACGACCAACGAATTGACACTGGTCATTCCAGCTCGAGTTTCACTTTCCGAATCTTAGCTGTGTTAAGAATTCATGGCTTTCTTATATCAAGACTAATTAAACGTAACTAAACCAAATTAAGTCTAATCTATCACGTGGATACTATGAAGGTGGCCAAGTCTAATTAGTTTCCGCTTGGTTACAGCTAAATTGCTTGGAGATACAGCTATAACTGAAGTAAACCGTTTATGTCATATATATATATATATATATATATATATATATATATATATATATATATATATATATATATATATATATATATATATATATATATATATATATATATGAAGACGTGTTAGAAGCCGTTGTGGCAGCATGTAGGCTTGGCTCGTGGCGCTCGATCCGGGAGATCGTTCACGGGAGTTCCCTTGTCAGAAGCCACAAGTTGTCGACAGCCTGAGTCTCTACATCTTGTTGATACTTCTGAAGATTTTCTATTATCTGGGGTTAGTTATTCATTGGGAAACACGCATTAGTTATAATTCAAGTTAGCTTTATTTCCACTTTTCTTATTGCGTCTGGATCCTTATATTCTATTCTCTATTTTTACCTTCCTCGTCATTTTTTCTACATTACTTTAGCACAATTTGAGGCTCTTTATTCAGCACATCTATGATGGTATTGAGGGCCTCTATTGGAGATGATGCGTTAGGTAACTACACGTTAATGTTAAGAGTTACTGATAGGGGTTGGGGCACTTCTGGGAGTTGGGGCACCTCTGAGAGTTAGGGCACCTCTGGAAGTTAGGGCACCTCTGGAAGTTAGGGCACCTCTGGAAGTTAGGGCTCCTCTGGAAGTTAGGGCTACCCTGGGACTTGAAGCCCCCCTTGGGAGTCATACTTAAGGATCAATGAAGTCTGCTGACGGTCCTGGAGCGATAGGGAAGAGGCTATTGAAGAGGGAGAATATGCAGAAGAGTTCTTGTGAACGGAGGCAGGACAGACTTCCCTTTGAAGTCATGAAGTGATAGGGACTACGCACGAACAAATCATGCATCCCTGTATGTAGGGACTGCATGGCTGAGTAGCGTCGTTGAAGGAAGAGGTGAGGATGGGCGCCACTTGGTGAAACAGAATGAAGGGCGTAAAAGGCATGACTCTTTCAGTAGGCGCAGGGTGATGCGATGTGTGAGCGAGGAGGGATGGGGTGTTTCACTGGTCAGTGGATGTGAGTTGGGAATGCAAGGGGATGGAAGTAAGGAGAGAGGAGGACGGAATGTCTTTAAACTATCTCTGCGTTCCTTAGAATGACTCCAAACTGTCTCTGCCTTCCTCGGAATGACTACAAACTGTCTCTGCCTTCCTCGGAATGACTCCAAACTGTCTCTGCGTTCCTCGGAATGACTCCAAACTGTCTCTACGTTCCTCGGAAGGACTCCAAACTGTCTCTGCGTTCCTCAGAATGACTCCAAACTGTCTCTGCGTTCCTCAGAATGACTCCAAACTGTCTCTGCGTTCCTCAGAATGACTCCAAACTGTCTCTGCCTTCCTCGGAAGGACTCAGAGGCAGTTGGGAGGGCCTACACGAGAGACGTTGTTGTGAGGACTGTTTGAAGGACTTGTAGGAGGAAGTATGTGCTTCCAGGAGGGAGGAGGGGAAGAAGGGAGAAGGCGGGCACGAAGAAGGGGGTCTAGGAGAAGAGGGAGGCAGTTTGGAGTGAATGGGATCTTGGAGGAGGAGAAAATAGGAGAAAAAATACGACAGACAAAATTTGTCTTTTAGTTTCCCCAGGGTAGACCTGACAATTGTGTGCAACATTAATACATTTGGTTATGCCATCCGTGGGCAGAGCCGGAGACCTGTTATGCCACATTCTGTGCAGTGGGTTAAAGAGTACATCGTCATATACAAAACATCAACTGAGCACTCAGCTACTAAAGGTGATCACAGGAAACTGGAAACTCAGTTTCCAAACTGGAAACTCATATGAGTCACAGAGATGTTAGGAAGTTTTCTTTTAGCGTGAGAGTAGTGGAAAAATGAAATGCACTTGGGGGAACAGGTTGTGGAAACAAACTCTATTCATACTTTTAAAATTAGGTATGATAGGGAAATAGGACAGGAGTCATTGCTGTAAACAACCGATGGCTGGAAAGGCGGGATCCAAGAGCCAATGCTCGATCCTGCAAGCACAAATAGGTGAGTACAAATAGGTGATCACAGGACTTCTGTAAGCTCAAGGCTGGAGAGCGAGGGACATGTATATGACGTCTCAACACGACACAACACAAGACACAAGACACAACAGCACAACACTCTAAGTACACTATAAGACACAACACTCCAGATATTCAAAACAAATTCCTATACAAAAAAAGCTCCATTTTGCATATCACAATAGATTACTCAGTCCTGTTTGCACATATGTTTATCATTTCGGAGTCGCAAACATAATATTAGACGTAATATTAGGACGTAATATATTAAATAAAATCTGGCAAAATTTACCTTTCCTTGAACGACAAGAAGATCTTTTTGACTCGTGTTTACCATCGACCTTAAACCCAACTTAACTTGAGAGTCAGTTTCTCACGGCACCGTTCCTGGAGTCTGTTCCTGAGACGAATGTTCTTCATGCCCGGGGCGTCAGACATGTGTGTCTTGTGAAACAAACAAACAAGCTTAAATTCTTATATGCAGATGTTGGGGCGCCTCAGAAGGGAGGTCGAAGGTCTTGTTAACAGAGTGTTGTTAACCTCTAACAGCCTCATGACCCAGATTGCGCCTAATTTGAGAGCTATTCCCCTCTCAAGCATATTGTTGACCTGATCAGGATGTATAGCATAACTAATAGAGTACACCACAGCTGTAGGAGGAAGATGGGGCATTGTTTGAGGCATTTTGTGTGTTACTAAGTAACTCTTGGTGGGTAGGAAAAGATGGCGACGACATGGGAATTCTCCAAGTAGGAAGGAGTTCGATGATGTCATCAGTGACCAATGAGAGAGGAGCAAGGACGTGACGTGTTGTGTGCAAAAGCTCTGTGATTGGTGAAGACGTCACTTGCAAGTGTGGGGTCGGAGAGGACACGCTACTCGTCGCCTCTTCAGTTTAAGATGTAGTTTCAAGTGCCTTAGTGGAGATAGTGCCGTGACCTGACGGATACAAGATCAGTAAGGTACAAGAAGGCATTTCCGGTGTCAACCTCGAGTCATTTGGAGCCAGAAACGATATTCTGAAGGCAGTGGATACTAGGCAGCGAGGACGACTGCCTAGTATCCACAGTGGTAAACCTAGGAGAGGCTTGTCCTATCTGAGGGCAGTGTCAGAGGTGAACCAAGCCTGTCACCTGTGTCTCACCCACACACGCAAATAACAGCGGTTCAAGTCAAGAAGAGAAAATTAAACAGTGGCAGTCAAGAGAGAGGATTTGTGGACAGCCTGGAGAAAAACAGACCCCAAACACCACCTTCATTTGTTGAAACAAGTGTGGTCGCACCGGGAGTTTTGTGGTAAGAACATTTTGTTTGCCATGTACAGGGAGAAGCAATGCTCGCTGATTTATAATGATCTTAATGAATCATGTTTATGGTAACTAAGAAGTAATATTGAGGAACTGTGAGATGCATGATGGAGGCGAGAGCGAGACATGCTGACTCGATGGTGGCTGGTGTTCAACTGACTGAAACTTGATAATGTGAAGGGAATTTGAGAGTGGCTTCGCCCAGAAGCGGGGGAGTCCACTTGGCAGTACTGGGAGATACCACCAGGAGAGGTATGTAAAGAGTTTATGATAGAGTTTTATTAAAGTTATTTTTTTAGTTGTTTGTGAAGGAAGAATATTTTTGTTATGTATAACATTACAGAGTGCAGGGGAGAGTTGTGTAAAACCCTGGTTTGTACCTCGGAGAGGCTACGGGATCCAGTAAGTTCAGTAGAACTTCGGTTTCAACTCTTTTACCATGTCGTAGCTCAGTCGATTAAGGCAGTGTCTGGGATGCTCCCGGACGCAGCTTCGAATCCTCGTCACGGCCCTTGTGGATTTGTTCATTTTATAACATTACAGGTTCGTGTGTGGTTGCTGAGAAGAGCTAGTGTTCCCCTGAGTACCAACTGTTGACCAGACCACACACTAGAAAGTGTGTTGACGGTTATTCAGTATTCAGTTTTATTCAGTAGTTGATCAGTACCAGTTGGTGATAGCCCCACTACCCAGCTGTAAGATAATCATTCACCAGAGGGAAGAGCTAACTAATTAACAGGACTGATCCTTATGCAGGCGACTTGAAAATGGTCCAGGACGGACCGAAACGTCGTCGTCCCTTCAACTTCTAGTGTGTGGTCTGGTCAACAGGACTGATCCAGAAGGATCGTTGGATACATCTTTGTTTGCTTATTCGAGGATTTCCTTGAAATTGTAAAGGTGACTCAGTGGGTGGAGGTGAGAATATTGGAGGTCATGTATATGAAAAACA